AGTCCCAGCGGCTGCACGGGCGGCTCCCTGAGGTGCTATGTTGTGACGTGGGCTTGCCCAGCGTAGCTCACACTTGCTGTGGCAGCTTGGGGTGGCGGCGCACAGTGTTTCCTCTGTGTGGAGTAGGTTTCTATTCGTTGACCTACATGATTGTATTTGGTCTACTATTTATTTCCCAGGACGCCCTGTCCACTCTTGCTTAGCTAAGCCCAGGGCTCAGAAGAGCCGTTGTTAGTGGAACTAGAAGAGCATATTTTAAGGAACTAGACTAGAGCGTCGTCTCTGGTTACTACTGGTCAGCTCCAGTATCCCAAGAGGTTTCTTGCTCACCTCTAACCTGGGGTCATTAGCGCCAAGATGGGGTAACGCGGGTTTCAGGTTCCCTTAGGAGCTCCTAATGAGGGGCGACTTTCGGAGGACGCGCCTGCGGCAAGCCCAGGCCTGCGGGCCCCAGCAGAGCTGTGCACCGTGTGTGCCAAAGACTCTCAGACGAGCAGCCTGCCAGGGGCCGCAGTTGTGAGGCTGGTCACAGGGACCCCTGAGGACAGACTAGCCTCACAAAGGCGGGCCTTGGGGAGGAGAGGCCTCCTGGGCTGGATGTCTGGGGACTTTTTTGTGATCAATACAAAGCAAAGCAGCCTCCAGAAATGTTAGAAAGGGCTCAGAATTTAGGTTTGTGATGAAGCTCTTCACAGAAAGCCCTATACTTCGAATGCTTTGATGGGCAAATTGCCCGTTGAAAAATATATATATTTTATAGAAATGCCTGTAAAAAATTATGGGATAGGCCATTGTTCTATTTTCCTGCTGAATTCATCTGTCCTATGTAGGGGGGCTACAGAATTCAGTTGTGGAATTTAAACAGCGTAATTTTATGGCCGTAATTAAGATTCTAAAGGTTTCGTATATCACAGTGCTGACTTTGAACTGCAGTAAGTGGATGTGAGTTGATAAAATATATGAATATAAGAGGGTATTAACATTACTTAATGTCAGCATTGGATCATATCTAAAGTATAAATCGTATACTTAAATATTGACTCATAATACTTTCAACTTCTTACTCTTTTGTATTAAGGAGTTGCGTGGGGTTCTTTTTTTGTTACTCAGGAAGCATGCACTCATCTGAAATAATTTAATTCCGTATTCGTAAAGAAATACTGAATAAGCCCCTAACACGTGTGCCGCAGTCCGCTAGGCACTCAGAGTGCGGGGGAGTTTCAGATTCCCCCACGGAGAAGCCGGCGGGGTTGGGGGAGGTAAGCCCAGAAAAGACGGTAGGAGTCCTGTGCGCAAGAAGTGGCAGGCGTTTGGATGAGACAGCACTGGCCTCAGAAATTTGGGACGAGAAGGGGCGGTGTGCGAGGAGACAGTGGATCAGATCCGGGAAAACGTTTAGACCTGAGCAGGCGGGAAGGAAGCCCTGGCCGAGCTCCGGAGGGGAGCGTGGCGAAAGGACGCGCACGGGTGTACCCGGTAGGACTGTTTTGATCGCAAGTAAAGCAAACCCAAACCAAACCAAACGGGCTGAGGCCGAGAGGAAATGTGTCACTGTTTAAAATCTGGACGGCCCCACGGTTGGGCCTGGCTTGGCTCGCGGTGGGAGCTTCTTCCTTTTCATCCCTGCTCTCTGCGCGCGCCACCTCCGCCCCCCCCCCGCCCCGCCCCCGCCACCGGGGCGCTGGCTCTCCTTGGACCAGGATGTGGGAAGTGGCCCTGGGCCTACCATCCCGCCAAGGTGGAGATTTGGTATAAACAGGAGGTTTCAGCGTGGAGGGTGGAGCGGCGGCTGAGTGCTCGGGAGGGAAATACAGCGACCTCCTCGCACGTCTCTCCATTTCTAAAGCCACCGCCTTTGCCGGCATCCGTTGTGTGCGGTGAGCTGTGCCGAGCGCAGAGGGGCGCCCCGGCCTTGACCTTGCCCCCCGCGGCGTCTGCCGTGTGGCCGGGGAGACGCTGGTGGTGCCGCCAGGATGCACGGTGGCGGCAGCACCAGGCTTCAGGGCCGCAGGGAGGGAAGAAGTGTGAGAGGAACCACGGTCCGTGGAGCTGGGAGCGGGGAGGAGAGGCCTGCGGACGGTGGCTCCCCCCCCACACCCCCGGACGTCCGGGAGGGCAAGTCCGCCGGGGCCCCCTCCCCCGCGCAGCGATGGGGAGCACTGCGAGGGCCCGGGCGGCTGGGCGGCTGCCTTTCTTCTTCCGCCCCGGCCTCCCCCGGGGCTGCTGGCTCCGGGGCGGGACTGGGCACACCGTGGACCCTGTGCTTGCAGACCCTGCCAGGCCACTCGGGCCACCGGATGGGAAAGCCCGGTCCGTGGCCTTGGCGCTGCCCGTGGTAGGTGTGCCCTCCCCGTGCAGCCCGGGCGGGGGGCGGGTGGAAGGGGCCCCCGGAGCGCACGGCGCCGTTGAAGCCTGTGTCCGCAGACGCCAGGGCCAAGGGGAAGAATCGCTCGGGCCCCACGCAGGAGAACTCAGCTCTGTTCCTAGGGACGCGGCGCGGGGAAGACCCTCCCCGTGCCTGGGCCTCAGCTCCCGGCCTGGAGAGGCAAAGCATCGAACAGAGAATGCTTGACAGCTGCCCGTCCGTCCTAAGGGTCTGCAAGTCCAGCAGAAACAACCCTCATCCTGATTCCCTGGCACCTACGTGATCTGCCATGATGTTTCCAAACACAGCTGCCAGGACGTCGCTGGGCCCGCTCCCCCACCCCACGCACACGGGAACGCGCAGGGCGTGTGAGCCCGGGGGTCGCCTGCAGAGGGCGCCCCGCTAGAGCTGCTACTTAGAGAAATTGGTAGGGGTGGCCAGAAGTGGCCCCTTCCAGGGACAGGGCAGAGAGGAGGGTGGCCCTTCCAGGGACACGGAGAAATGAGAGGAAGACTGAGGGCCACGGGGCAGGGCCTGCACCCTGTCCCCAGCTGCCACGGGGACAGGACTGCGGTCCTCGCAGAGCCGTGGCCTGCTGCCGTGGCCGCAGCCCCGAGGTTGTGGGGAGGAGGTGACCGTGGAGACGTGCGGGCGGGGCGGGGCGAGTACTCGGAGGTGAGTTTTACTGTTGTGAGCTGGTCCTCGCCTTGTCTTCCTCTGACCTGCAGGTCCTTAACTTTAAAACAACATCGTACGTCAAATTGTGAAGAAAACAAACTGTTGTGTTTCTGGGACCTTCACCGTGTAGACAGACTGTGCACATCCCCCTTCACCTCCAGCACATCTGAGGGGGAGGGGGGAGCCTGCCCCCCGCTTACCTGGGAACCGAGCGGCCGCATGGCCAGTGGCGGGCAGAGTGGGCCTCGGAACCCCCCCCCCCGAACCCGGCCGCGGCCCGCGGGCCCGCCGGCCCCACGCCGCAAAGCCTCCGTTGCGCCCAACGCCAAGGGCTCCCCTGGTCCTCAGGGGATGTAGACTAGGATTGTTGTTTTATGAGCCAGAGGAGAGTTTACGTTACTCCTGGAGTTAACAACCGAGTGGTTTTTACATCAGTCAGGCCCGACACAGTGCCTTTCACAAACGTCCATCTCCGCGCGCGGGATGTGTTCCACGTGCTCTGAAAGCGGAACACCGTGTTGTGACTTCACAGCGTTTTAAATAAAGTTAGGGATTTGGGTTTGGGGCACTGAAACGTGCGCACAGCCAGCGGGTGTAAGACCTTGGCCCTCAACACTTTGGCAAGTGGAGGAACGAGACGTAGACGCTTCCACAGGCCGGTCATCGAAGCATCGCAGGGACAGCCTGGGGAGACCAGAAGCGAAGCGCCCGGTCGGTCGTCCCCAGTCGTCCCCGCGGAGACTGCGGCACTGGCCCTCCGCGAGCGGCCCGTTTTTAAAGCGGCCGCCTCTGCCGGCTTTTCTGCCTCGTTTGGGAGCTTGCAGCGGCGGCTCCCGCCCCGCCCTGGCCCTGCTGCTACGCCCAGCCATACGAGGGGCTTAGTTTTCACTTTGTTCTCCGAACCAGGCCGGCTATAAATTTATCTCTGTTCTTTGAAGAAGCGAATAGTAAATTTTCAAGGGGGGAAATGGTGGGGTATATCCCTGTAGAGGAAAAGTAATCTCTTAAAAGCGGAATAACCTCCAGGCTACATCCTTTTAAAGAGGGACTTTGAAACCGGGATGCCTTCGACTTTTAAATGTGCTCAGTGTGTTTCTTCGGGCTCTGTACCCGCTGCTGCGCGCTCTGCGTGGGGTTTGTCTGTAACGGCCCCGTCCCTCCCGCACCCAGTAAATCTGTCTCGCAGCCATGCCACTCCCAGAGGGCAGAGCCGTGGCGGGGCGCACACCCGGGGGTAAACTGAGGGAGAAAGAGGCCCAGCGACCGGCGGTCGGAGCACCTACGGAGTTGGGCCTCCGTTGGTTAATGAGCGCACACCACAGGGAAAACAAGCTTTTTACACAGTGAAATCGCTGGCAAGGTCTCCCTCCGAGTTCAGTGCACGGGGAGCTGTTTTCTGCTGCAGGCGCTGGTTTCATTCACACTGAAACGGTTCTCCCCGGAGGCCTGGCACCCCCTGGGCAGCAGACAGACCGCTGGGAAGGAGGAGGCGCTGAAACAGTGGGGGTGGGGCGGCTCGTGGCCCTGTGTCCCCGTCCCACGACGCCCTCGCCTTTGACCGTTACTCTAGAGCTGCCTTGAGCTGAGTGCGGACGGAGGCGGCCCTGCCTGGTGTCCCTGGGTCACACGGCGGCCCTGGGGCCAGTCCGCAGGGCGGACCGCAGGCGCCCGGGGCAGGAGACAGGCTGGGGGCGCGTGGGTAGGGCCGTGGAGCGGGGAACCCCTACCTCGTCCACCCTGCCGGTGCCTGCCGGTGCCACGGCCACGGGCTCCTCGGCCCCTCGCGGGGAGCCGAGAGCCCCCACGGCGGTTAAGCGCTGCCAACAGAAGCGAGGCACCCCGATGGAGGGGCTGACGAGCCAGCCTCTTTCTCTGGCCTCAGGAAGCTTCGGGAAGGGCGCCGGGGGCCACTCCCTTTGGCCTAATTGTCCTCTTTCTCATTTTATGCCCCTGCTAGACCACCGCTCTTGATAAGGAGAGGCAGGTTTTCCGACGAAGACGCCACCCGGATGTGAGGAGCCGGTACCCGGCGCCGCCAGCTCCGCCCGAGCTCAACTCGGAGTCCGAAGACTTCTCCCCGAGCTCCTCCGAGACCGTGCGCTCCCCCAACTCGCCCTTTTAACGAGCCCCTCGCCCTCCGAGTCCTAGCCTGACCCTCCGCGCCTCGGGGACGTTTTCCCAAATTTATTTCCGTGAAGCAGTTCCATCCGATCTCTCCGGCACGCGACACCCGAGCGGCAAAACAGCGGGTGTGTTTTAGGGCCTCTCCGTGGCGACCTCCCCCGGCTGCACCCGGCGATGGCATGTTCTGCGTGAGGACGGTGACTTGCCGTGCATAGGGTCCTCAAGGGGTTAAGGCGACTTGGCGACTCCTTACACCCAAAAGCAATGACTCTTTTCCTCTGTCAAGCTCGTGTGTAATACGCACACGTTAACCCTCTGAGTGCATGGATTGCGTGTGGACGCCCCGCGGGGCATCCCGCAGGCCTGTGGACGTATGCACACGTGTCTTGGTTTTGCTGCAGATCAAGGTGTGTTTTCAGATGCTGAGCTCTGGACGAGAAAGACACCCGGAATAATAGCTCGCTTGTCCTTCCCTGTAGGTTCAGAATGTGGCAGGTTTATACCGCAGGCAGAAGCCCCCCTGTCTCCTCCTCCCGATCCGATTAAGAAAGAGCCTTTTTCCGTATGACTGGCAGCTGCCATGAGTCCCGCAGCCCGAGCGGAGGGAACCGAGTCTGTGGCAAACAGCCTGATATCCACCCCCAAAAAAGGTGCCCCTCCCCCTCCACCCTGTTCCCCTATAAAGATGTGCTGATGACGCCCCAGAAATGCTGCTTCCACCTCAGCTGCTGCTGGCGCGGGCGCGGACCTCGGGCAGCCTCCCGCCTGGGCTCGCGCCTGCTGAGGGAGGGTCTCGCTGTGGGACATCTCCGGGAAAGGCCAAACAAAACAACAACTGGTGGACAAGAGCAATAAACTGCCAGGTGCTCTCTAGGGCTGGAATTTCAAACAGAGGAAACCAGATCCTGGTCTTTTTCTCACCTGCTTTTTCCCGTGCTGCCGTCTTCAGTGTGACATCCGTCCCGAGTGCCGAATCCTTACACGGGAGCCCCGGGCTTGGCAAGGCAGCCAAGGAGAAAGCACAGTGAGAAAACTGTCCAGAGCATTTCTAAAATGGCTTTGAAGGAAATGGACCACCGGTGAGGCTGTTCCGTGTGTACCTCTGGGTTCCCTACTAGACTCTCCTGGGCAGAGCAGAAGATGACAGGGAGCGCTTCGGGGGCCAGACCCCCCGCCCCCAGGTGCCCTTCCTGCAGGCCTCCGTCTGCTGCTGTCCAGAGGGACAGGTGGTTTTCCTCTCTGGGTTGCGTGCCGTGTGAGACCTGCACCTTCCCTCCCGTTCCTGTCGAGCTGCTGCTGGGACGGACGTCGCCGCGATGCGTAGGAGAGAGGCCGGCCGGGGGCCGCGGAGGCAGGTTTGGTTTGCTCGGTGTGTGACCCAGGAGACCCACGAGTGCCGCCTTGTGCCGTTTGCATCCGGATGGCTGGCAGCGCGTCCCGTCTCTGTGTTGACTCTATTCCGCTACCTGCCGGTCTTCGGCCTTCCTAGAGTCAGTTCTTACTTTCAAATACACATTGGTCTTCAATGGCTGCTTTTTACCCTTTGACTCATGGACTGTGGGCTCTGCTAATAGAGGTGTTAGGATCCCATCATGTCATGATTTTTGCATCGTGGCTTTCTCAGTTTTTTGCTCTTCCCCCTTCAGGTTTACTCCTCCTTTGGACTGTGTCGTCCTGACATGTGAACAGTAGGTTATTTACTGAGAGTCCCCTCCTTCAGAGAGTCCTGAGACCGTAACGCGCCGCGTCGCCGCGTCGCCCGGCTCAGTCAGGTCTGGAGCAGGGGCGCAGGGCAGAACACCAGGAAGGGTGTCGCTGCGTAGAAAGAGTCCGCATCAGTCAAGGAGCCTGACTAGGTCAGAAATCCCTGCTTTCTCTAGAACGATAAAGCGAAGCACTGCTCTGAGTGGCAGCAGAGTAGCCACGCAGCGTGGCCTCGGCTCCAGCTGCGGGGACACAGAGGATAGCGACCCGCCGGCCGCAGGCTGCGCGCGCCCTTTTCCCTCCGAGTCGCGGCTTTCCCCGCGGGCGTTAAGGGCGGCGCTCCAGCATCCAGCGCACAGAACGCATGGCGCATGGCTCCGGCCCTTCCCCCTCCGCGTCTCCGGGGGCCGGGGACCCCGTGAGGCTGTGCGGGGTTTCCCAGCACACGACAGAGGGCGGCGTGGCGCCCGTCCAGCGTGGAGGGCCCAGCACCTCGCCGCAGGGTGTGGGGCCCACACTGAATCCACAGTGGGGTGTGGCCTGTCAAGGAGAAACATCAAGTGACCAGATGGAAAGCCATCTCTCAGCATCGCGCGATCAGGACCCTTGCCGCCGGGGACGTGGCACCCAGAGGGTTAACCGACAAGCACAAGGCAGGCTGACAGCGTGGGTGTGTCCGGGCTGCCTGGCCTTCAGCCAGCGCTTTCTCGTCTTTCTTTTTTCCTGACATTCTCGGGATAGTTCGAGTCTGAAATAATGAAGTGGTGGTGTTCTTTAAGGAATTCCTCTGACCAAATGGATCTTGTTTTTTTCCCCAGTTTGTCATCGAATAAACATGTATCATTACGGCAGTGTATCTCTGTAATTATCGATTCGATCATTGCCGCACGTGTTGCCACATTTTTTCTCAGTAGTGAATCGCGCTCTCGCGGTGGTGGTCTGGGGACAGGGCTGTCTTTCCTTTGGCAACACAGGACCGGCCATGTGGTATTTTCAAGGGAGTTTTAAGATTCGACTTTTCCATTGGGTGGTAGGCTAGTTGGGAAAGGACTCTTTCATTCCTCGCCTTGTGTGCGTCCTCTGTAGATGAGAACTGTTCCTAGCGATGAACGCGTTTCTTCTGACGTTGTAGCAGAAATCATTTTACTCCTCACAGTCGACGAATGTGTGCTTTGCTCCCACCTGTTAGAAGGAAACGTAAGATTTCAGTCCCTGGAAATGTTTTTACAGTAGCCCTCATCTAACTTACACATGGTGCATATTAAAATAAGCAGAGACAAAAATGCCAATAAACAACTGAAAACGCTTGGTGTTTTGTATTCAGTGAGACTCGTGTGGCCTGCCGGCGGCCCCCACCCCACCCGCCCCGGGTTGCGGTTAACAGCCCCATAAGGCATTGTTGACAGCAAGCAATATATACGTGAATGAAGGCTGAAACTGCGCTCCTTCACCCTTTGAAACATATTTCAGTTGGAAAAAAAAAAGAGGAAAGAAAAATTGGCTTCGCTGAGAGGGTCACGGAGCTACCGTCTGACCAGAGCTCACGCACATTAAATCACGGCTCTTTGCTGGCCGAGGGCGCCCGCGAGACACCTCTGTCCCCGCGCGGGGGAGCGGCCGTGGTTGAGGGAGGGCCTCCTTAGCGTTACGGCGCTGCCCGCTCGCCCTTCTCCAGGCAAGACTGTCGTTTTTCCGTGATGAACTATTTTCAAAGGTTTTTAATTTGACCGTAAAAAGGTGCCCCGGGCTGGTTTACTCCAGACGGAAGGCCTGAACCCGAGTGAAGGTTCGCTGCCCCTGTTCTCTGCCCTGCCCGATCCTCCGGAGAGAAGACCCACCGAGAGCCTGGTGCGTCTCCCCCTCATCGCGGTTTCAGGGCTTCGGAAAGCCCCGCGCTCCCAGCTGGCAGGTGATGGGATTATTCATTGGGATGCATTTCAAAAAAATAAATACCGAGCCACCTGGCATAGATTGTAGATAACGTATCTTTTCTGTAATTCATAAATCATTACCTTTTTAAATGCTCCGTGATCTTTTTCTGTCCCAGCAAAGATTTTTAAAAACTTGAAGGCACTCCTTTCAAAGGCTAGTGTCCTCTGCGAGCCGCCCACCTGCTTGCTCGGGGCGTGGGAGGGGCCTCTCAGACAGGCCCCCGCTTTGCGTGCAGCGATGGCGGGGGGGGGGGGGGCAGGCACACGCTTCTTCAGGGGAGGGGGGGTTTCGTTTGTTTGTTTTTCTTTTTTTACTTCAACATCAAGTTCCACGAAGCCAGAAGTCCAAAGGGAAAACAGTGATTAAAAGCACTTCCCCAAACTAACAATTTTTTGTCAGTTCAGAGATAAGAAGGGCATAAATTAACACGCTTCAAACTACTTCTGTTTAAAAGCAAATCAATCCACCACCTTGAGGACGCGCCGACCACCGGATCCCTGCAAATGTGTGCTTTTAAAATCAGCTCAGCGGTGCTTGCACACGGAACGGAACGAGTGGGGCCCGCGGACACACGTCATCACAGGGGCCTGTAATTCGTGTGTAAGGACGTTCTGGAGGTGCAGGGGGAGGTCCCTGACTTTTTATTAGCTCAGACACGCAGCCATACCTTGAGTAACGTTAAGGGTCTTCAATGGTGGGAACCAGGAAGTTCTCTGCAGAGTCTTAGGGTGTCTCTGGTTGAGGTGGGGGCTTTCCCCTTCGTTTTTGCCCCCTCCCCGCCCCCGCTGCTGCTGCTGTTGGGCTTCCACGCTGAAACTGCGGGGATCGTTTTTCAGGGAGGGAGTTTCTACCGGGCAGGTGTTTTGGTCGTGAGGTTTACCATATCTTGCCCTTGGAGACAAGCGCGAGGTCTCATTTTGTTCTTTTCTCTCGAGAGGAAAAGCACGGTCTGCAATTAAACCAAACCCACGAATCTCCTCCGCGTTCCTTTCCGTCAGCCGAAGTGAGAGCCCTTCGTGTTCCTCCGATGTAAAATTGTACATTTTTGTCTGTGACACACTTGATTAATTTAGAGTAAATCATGGTTCTACAAGCCTTCACTGTTGGTATGAAGAGGAAGTGGGACTTCACGAGGGATGATAAAGATGCTATAATGTCAGTTCCTTCCAGTCCAATTCAGTGTGGTAAGAAAAACACCTTGGATAGTTCTCTAGGGGCAATTTCTCACTTGCCATCGACATTAATCTTCAATGTAGCCTCAGAAAAAATAAAAAGAAATTGAAACTGGTCCAAGGTTAGAGTCACATCCTCGATAACTTTTTGAAAATTTTATTAAGAAATTAATAACAGCATTTTTCATTCTGGCGGAGAGAGAATTATCAAAGGATTAGTTGAGTGTGAAATTAAATAGTATTTTGCTCATGCATACTAAAAAGGTAGGCTAGGGACTTGCTGCGTTTAAGCAAGTTTCTGAAAGGTTTCAATTTGGGGCAAGAAAAAAAGTTCGACGTCTCCTTTGAAAAGACTGAATTTATCAATTGCTGCATGGATCAGAGGGCAGAGGGTAATTTTTGATTTTGAGAATCTTAATGAAAGAACTTTCCGACGATTTGTATCCATGATTAAAGCTGGAATGAGATCCAATTTTTTTTCCTAACCTCTCCGTTTAAGCTCATACATGTAGGTGAATGTGGAATGAAGTCAGCTGTGATATATGATGTTCATTTATCGACTGAGCTTTTTTGATGTTGCCTGTTTTTATGTAAAACATGTTCTTAAAGTTAATAAAAGAATAGTACTCGGTGTACGAGCGGCTGCGTGGCGCCCTCACCGCGGCGTCCCCTCCTCGGCTCCCTCGGCCGGGACGGAATACAGTTTCACTTCAGTTCAGCTCGTAACCGACCCAGCCCACAAAGGAAGAGCCCAGCTGCGCTCCTGGGGAGCTGTCTCTCGGAGCGAGGCTTTACAAATTAGTCATGCGGTCAGAATGCAGCTTTCCCACATGTGCCTCCGAGCAGAGTGTCCATTTCATGAGAATCGTTCAGAAACAGCTATTCCAAAAATGTCCCTCTTCAGGCGTTACCAGCCCGCCTGGGCCAGGGACGTGGAGAACCCCAAGGCAGCACAGCTCAGCCTTAATTTCTCCCCCAGCCTGGGCGCACCAGGTCTCGGGAGAAGAGGGGCGTCGTACCCCTGACCTGGACTCAGCTGCCATCTTTAGCGCGGTTTCCCCTCAGGCCTTCCACGGGCCGCGTCGACCTTAGGAAACACTGCCAAACGGCGCCACGGCGTCCCGTCCTTTGCTCTGAGGTTTTTCCGATGCCAGGAGATTGGAGAGGCAGCCGGCAAAAGTGACGGCCGGTGCCCTGCTGTCCCCTGAAGGTGCCAGAATACCTCCCGGCCCTTGTAACATCAGCAGCCGCCACTCCCTTCTGTGCCCAGGCGGCTGCCGCGGGCTGGCCTCCCGCCGGTTCCTGGTGCGAGGTCCAGGGGTCCTCTCCCGACTCCCGGGGCAATGGCTGGGACACAGGAGCCCAAGGGGTTGCCCCCTAAGGCCCAGGGTTGTTTCGGGAGGGCTGGCAGCGCCACCAAACCTGCCGCCCAAAACCTGAGCCCTGAAGAGGATGAGAAATGGGGGAAACTCCTTCCTCGGGGGGGGGGGGGGGGGGGGGAGCCGGACAGGAAAGGGCTCCACGGCTCCCGTGGCCGGTGGTTGGAGAGGTGCGATTTGTTCTGTCCAGATAAGGAAGGAGGTACATGGGTAAAAGAAATAGGGCAAGAAGCACTCTGGGCACTGTCTTACAACATCTCCTCACACAGAAGAAAGGCTCCGCTCTGCCTTAGAAGGTAGCCTTTCCCCGCACCCCGGGAGGGGCTCCCGGGGAGGACGAGGACCCCGCCCAGCCAGCTGGACCAGCCAAACCCGCGCTGGCCGCCCGCACGGTGACAGATGTCCCTGCCAGCTTGCCTGCACATTCAAATCATTCATTCAAACGCTTCTTGAGCGAGTGCCAGCGGCACACGAGGCGCTTCCCTTCGGCTTAGGCGAGTGAAGGGGCCACTCCATTGTCCGGTTTTATTTCCTCTGTGGGTCAGGGGACTTGGAAGAGGCGAGGGGAGGCCCCCGGCTGGACGGCCTGCGGTGTCTTCTGAGACTCTCGGTCCAGAGCGCAGGCACACAGGCCCCACCGCCGGGGAGGCCGAGCGGGCGGCGGCGGCGGCGAGGCCGCCTCCCGGGAGCGGGCGGCTGCCATCTGCCCGTCGGGCGGCGCCCGTGCCCACTGGAGCTCTTGGCTCCGCTCCTGGCCTCGGACCTCCGAGGCCGCCCGGCGCCCTCCCTGCCATCTGCAACGGGCCCTCGCCTGCAAGCGCGCCGCAGTCGCCTGCTGAACGACGTCCGTCTGTGCGGCAAGCGTTGCCCGGGCGCCACCGTGAGCCCTGCGCCGGGGAGGATGCGGGGAGCGCGCCCCGGCGGCCGTCACCTGCAGACACGTCTGTGGCCCTGTCTGTCACAGCGGCGGGGGCGCCGCCCTCGGAAAACCCCTGGAAGGAGGAAAAGCCCGGGAAGACCGGCGGGGGGGGGGGGGCGGGGGGGAAGCAGGGAAGGCAGGAGGGCGCCTTAGGCCACAACTGCCACGGTCTCACGTTCCGGGGCCTCAGTGGGAGAGTTTAAGAGGAAGGAGGCGTTTCGATGCCTGACAGCGCATCCCTCAGAACAGCCTGAGGAGATGCTCCGCGGGAATCGTGGACGGAATTAGCGCGGACAGAACATGACCTTTGGTTTTTTCTAGATCTTCATGCGGATGAGCAGCCCCCCCGAACGGGGCGGCTAACGAGACCCGTCCACGCACCAGCGGGGCATCTCCCGGGCGTGCCCGGCCCCGCCCACCTCACTGCCCGGCCCCGCCCGGGCGGCCAGGCCCCCTCCGAGCGCTCCTCCCCCACGGCCACGGCCCGGAAGCGCAGGCCCCGCCGGCGCCAGGGGCGCTTCAGCCCGCGGTGCCCGCGCCCGTCTGCCGCCCAGGGCTCATCGGCTGCTTCCGGTTCTAGCACGTTGCGACCAGGTGCCCTGCCTTCCACGGTCAGCGTCCTGGGAGGGAAGGCAGCCAGTAAGGGAGCTGTCGCCACATGATCAGGCTGGGGCACGGGGAGCAGGGGACACTTTGGGTGTCCATCTGACGGGGATTGGGAGGGGGGTTCAGAGGAGGCTCCCCCCAGAGGGCACCCCCGAATGAGGGCCTGAGGGGTACGGAGGAGCGGGCGGGGAGGAGGCGGAGGAAGGGACCCCAGGCCGCGGGACCCTGCTCAGGGAATGCGGCGGCGCTCACGGTGGGTCAGACGGAGGCTGGGACTCAGCCCCAGCAAGGGCGGGGCGCAGCGCCGGGCGCCCGGCCTCACCGACCCTCGGCGGCCACGCCAGGGAGCGGGCACGGGGCCGG